TTTTTTTTATATTAACTTGTTAATTATTGTGATTTATAATATATTTACGTAAAACATACTCTAAATAAAAATAATTAACAACTTAAAATATATAAAAACATACTAAAAAATTGATTATCTTCAAATTTCATATGTACCACATAAATTGAAACTGAAACAATAATATATATTGGGCCCCGTGCTGGCACGGGGTCCCATATCTAGTATACATAGAAAAGGCACTTGCTTAGAAGAATGAAGTATAGTACTGAGAGGATGTTTGAATTGATTTCAAAGTTTTTTTTACTTTTGAAAATATTTGATAAATATAAAAAATAACTTAAAATAAATAAAAAATAATTTAAAATAAGCTATGAAGTGTTTGATAATGTCAAAAATGACTTAAAAAAAATAATAAAAAAATAGGTTTTATTTTTTGATTTAAAACTAGTTTGACTTTTTTTTTCCGACTTTGAGCTAATCCAAGCGGGCTCTAAAGCCTCAAAATTTTTGAATTACCAAAATAGCCTCGATTGGGTAGCGCTTCTTAGACCCCTTCTATATATTAGTAAATTTAACATACAGTTTTGATCGAAAAAAATTTAACATACAGTTGCTGCAAAGGAAGCTACCTACTCGTATAATGGCAAATAAGCTCAGGTACTTAATTAGTACATTAATTTCTTTCTTTCTTTTCTCAAATTGTATATGAGAATTAAATGTGTATTTTTAGCTTTAATCAAATGTTTTTGTGGTATATTATATGCATCGTGTAGGTTGGAGGGCAAAGTGGCTATAATTACAGGTGCTGCAAGTGGCATTGGAGAAGCAAGTGCTAGATTGTTCGCCGAACATGGTGCTCGTATTGTCGTAGCCGATATTCAAGATGAACTTGGTCTGAAAGTAGTTGAATCTATCGGAGCTGACAAAGCCAGCTACCGACACTGCGACGTTACAGACGAGAAGCAAGTTGAGGATACCGTAGCTTACACGGTAGAGAAATACGGTACTCTTGACATCATGTTTAGTAATGTTGGGACGCTGAATTTTTGCAGCGTCCTGGACATGGACGTGATGGTCTTCGATAAGACGATGGCCATCAACGCACGAGGATCCGCGTTAGCGGTCAAGCACGCGGCTAGATTTATGGTTGATAAGAAAATTCGGGGATCCATTATATGCAACGCGAGTTTAGATGGTATTGTAGCTGGGGCCACTTCGCTTGCCTACATTGCGTCAAAGCACGCAGTTGTAGGCATTGTGAAAGCGGCCGCACGTGACCTAGGTCCATACGGGATAAGGGTGAATGGGGTGTCGCCATATGGAATAGCGACGCCCCTGGTGTGCAAAGCGTATGGGTTGGATGCGGGTCCATTGGAAGCAGCAATATATGGAAATGGAAACTTGAAAGGTGTTAGGTTGAGCACGATGCATGTAGCACAATCAGCACTTTTCTTGGCGTCTGATGAATCTGCTTACACAAGTGGTCAAAATTTAGCTGTTGATGGTGGACTTAGTTCTATTTTGAAGGTACAATAGATTGTCACTCTATTGTGCTGGTGTGCTGTGATGTGTGCATTAGTTCTATTTTGAAGCTACAATAATTCCTTTGTCATGTAGTACTGTTTATCTTGTTTCATTTCGAATTTTCAACTTAAATAATATTCTCTCACAGCACTTTTCGAATTTATAGTAAGTTTATTCATAGATATTTTGACTTATTAATTATTGTGACTTACAAATATATATAAATTTCATTTCAAAAAATTTGAAAATTTTATGCGCAAATTTCTTATCAAAATTAAACTATTTGACTATCGAAAAATGAAACATATCACATAAATTGAGACAAAAAAAATATACTATTTACGGTAAATAAAAAAAAATATAGTACAATATTTTAAAGATTTACATAATAGTTTTAACGGCAAAACTGATAATTGACGGAGTATAGCAGCGGAATTTCTCTTTCCTTATCCTCGCTTTCTGTGGGTCCAAATAATTGTCATATCCTCCACAGTCTTGTCTCTTTCCATCTATAACAACTTTCACATATAACAAAGATAAAAATCATATTTGTATATTATAACTATAGTTTGTATAATTGCGCTCCATAACAAATTTTATATTTGCTATAAAGTTTTTGATTTGTATAATTCGCTAGATACATCCAATTTTATACAAATTGTTCAATTTCGTATAAATTCATTTATACATTGTAATTTGTATAATAAGATCTATATTTATATAATTATAGTGTATAGGACGAAAATATATGTATTTGTATATATACTTTTCTCTCGCTTTGTACAAACACAAACACATTTTATATATTTGAATACCGAATGAGTAATTGTATCCCGAAAATGACTAATTGTATACCAAACCAAATGACAAAAAAATGAGATATTTGCTGCGAATTATAAGTAAAATAAACTATGGCTATAACATTTATTTTAAATTAATAGTTTGTTATTTCATACAATTTTCCCTTCTATCTACTCTTCACTTCTCTCTATAGATGAAAAAATAAAGAAATTTTTTAACTAGATGCCTAAAATCTAAATTAACTTCGTATGAATTAATTTTTTTTTAAAAAAAAAAATCTTACATGTTTTTTCAGGTGTTTCATTAGTTGAGCCACAAATGCAAGACCAAATTAGACCTTACATTTCACAGTTACATTCAAAAATCCCAGCAGAAGGTATCAGTAAATCCAAGAAAACAATTCTAGTAATACAAGATTATAGAGTAATTTCCCTAGATAGTTACCCATGTTTGAGAAATTACGGAATAATATTACTTATGTTTGTTTTATGACTACAATATCACCCAACTTTACCTATTTTCCTCAAAATATACTTGACACAAAAAAAAAATATTATCTCTCTCCTAATGGAATGCCATGTCACATATTTTTAATTTATTAATAATATTTTTTTATTTCTTTAAGTGTTTGTGCCCCTGCTTTTCGATAGTATTTATACAGTGTTTAGACATTTTTTTATTTATTTGTTTGTACTTCTCTAATTAGAAAGATTTTTCAAAGGCCGACAATTCAAGTAAAAGTCGAAAACATGATATTTGTCGATAGAGAGCCTAGTGCGCTCTATGTACATTACTTTCATTCATTATTGTTACTTTTAGTAAGAAAACAAGTTATATCATATTATATAAAAATATGTTTTTACACTATCATATTATAAACTCTAATTAACTCAAAAGGAGAAAAAGAGGGACCAGACGAATTATTTGAAGATTAAAATAAATAACATCAGTAGTTGTAGGCTGTCCGTGTGACTTATTGACTAGGACGTATATAGTCTATGGTCCGCACATATTGAAATGAGACATTTCATTGCTCCAATTATTATACTCAGAAAATAATAAAATATGAAAGATACAAACTAGTACTCTTATTATATAAAAGAGACTTCACGGTGAAGCAGTCACGTCTCTATCGACGTGCCTGCTTAGCGTGTTTTGGAAAAAAATTGAAAAACTTATTTTATTTGTTCTATTTTAACTTAATTAGTGTATAATTTTTCTGAAATTATGGAATCCGTTTTAGCTATATTTTTTAGTTTTAAATTTATATTCTTTAGTTATAGCTTTATTATTTTGGATGTCGGTAATATCTTGTAGCTACTTTGAGTATAGATTCAACGATCGATGACGAAAAATACTTTAATTATGGTTATCTTAATGAACCTCTTCACATTAATTTTACGCAAACAAAAAGTAACTAACAATTTAAAATATCTAAAATCATATTAAAATGGGAAAAGGCTCAAATATGCCATCGAACTTTTAGAAAAGGCTCATTTATGCCATCGGTTAAAAGTTTGGCTCATTTATGCCATTGCTGTTAAAGAAAAGGCTCATCCATGCCATTTTTTTTAACTCCGATTTTGCAAAACCATTTTTTACATACCAAACATGGTTTAACACTTTTCTATTGGTGTTTTTGGATCAAATGTACATTTTTTGCTTCTACATCCTTAAGAACACCAAGAACACATGAAGAACATAAACAACTCCAAAATTTTCAACATCTTCAATTCTTCA